AAAAAATGCAACACGATATGATGAAGTTATGTCATCAATAAAGAAGCAGGGAAAAGGAATGAATAGGGACCAGCTGGCAGAATGGAGACCAGGATGGGAACAGGCACTTTGATTGCCTCATGAAGATAGCTTCAGCCAAACTCAGCAAACTGCTCAAAGAAGTTCATACAGAGTCACTGGAAATAGCCGCACCGGAGCTGGAGAGAAGCTCAAGCTGAGAGAAGCGGACCCACGCACACAACTGCCCCTCGCCGGTAAGCAGCTGCACATTGTGGGGAATCATACGTCCTTGGAAACGAAGACTGTCCTGGTAACCTTATAGCTTATTCTCCTTATTGACAATCGGACAGTTTATGAGCCTGAAACATGGGACCAAACTGAGGTCAAGGTGTGGGCCTCTGCAACTAAAAATGACAAGGTAGAGGCGGGATTGCTCAGCACCTGGCGAGCAGTCTCTGAGGCCTTAAAGAGCCCTGTGGGACCACAGTCAGAAACGTGTGGTTTGCCAGACAGTGAGGGAGCTGCAGGCTCCTTTAGTGATCCGACTGCTACCCCATCAGCCCCTCTGCTGCTACAGCCATCGAAGGCCTTTGCTGTTACACCCCCTGCTGACCTGGACGTGCCTTTTGACCCAGGCCTATTGGCCTTGAAAAGGAGATGGATATGCTTTTCTTCGATCTGGGAAGAACAGGATACATAAGGACCAAAGGCCAAGTTGCTTGACAACTTAAAGCAAGACATATTGTTCAAAAGGAATGGAAAATGGAGACTGTTAAGTCATGGAACGTAAAGGATTGTTTGTTACCTTTTCTGATTGCACATATGTATAGGTGTACTCGGGTTTAGTATGTAAAAGCAATGTTAATGTTTGATGTTCGTGTGTGCGTGTTGGTGGAGCGTAGACTCCCCGCACACTCAGCACTGTTTACTTGCCTTTTATACCTTTTATAAATATTCCTTTTATAAATATTAGTAAATTCAGATTCAGTTGAGACTTCATTTATAACATACATACACGTGTACAGACACACCTGTGCGTACCGGGTAGGTAAGGGCTGATGAGATGGGAGACTGCAGGGCTGCAGAGAGGTGAGCAGGGAGCCCAGCCTGGTGGGCTGGCGAGCTTCCTTCTCTGCTGTTCCTGCCTCAGGCCTGCTGCTTTTAGGCTCTGGGCCCCCTGCCCTGCCCCCGGTGCTCCTTGTCTCCAGCTCTTTTGTCTGGCCAGTCTCCTTCCTGTGTATTGGAGGTGCCGTCTGCCTGGTGGCCCGGGCGCCCATCGTTGCCTGTTGGCCATCTCACTGCTGCCTTGCTTGTGCAAAGCTGCGCTAAGTGGCTGTGCCACTGCAGCCTTACACAATACCTGCACACTGTCGCTGGTTACACAGGCTGCATGCACGTTCAAGGCAAGCTAGTATTAATTATACAGGTGTCACGGGCCTCTGTTTTTGCTACATAACAGTTTATCTTAAAGGAAACTTCAGATCATACAAGCCACTTTCAGCTAAGTACCAGCTAAGTACTGGCATAATATAAAATAGATTAGCATCCTGCAGCTGAATGCCAAGTGGAAGAGATAACAGCAGAAAGGGTGATTATCATAAAATGTGTCTGTTTTCTTCGCATCTCCATTCCACCAGGTTACATGAAAATACCTCTCATCAGCAGAATGAATTCAGCTCTGCCGTCAGGCTGTGGTTTCTAAATTTAAGGGAAAATATTCTGTCTCTCCTGATGTGTGTGTATACATATATATATATATATATATATTTATTATTATTATTTTTTTTTTTTACAAATGACTACTTATTGGCTTAGATAGTATGTAACAATAACCTTCCGCAGGTTGGTGGTATTGCCTGTGTTTGAGAAACACACGTAGGGGGTAGGCCTTGCAGGGAAGGAAAACCCTAGATTATTACAGTCATAACAGCTACTGATTTGGTTACTCTATGAAGCTGAGAGTCTGCAGTTCAGTCACATTTCTCAACAAGATAATATTAAAATTTGAATCTGAGGCTCCTCCAGCCCAGCAAGTGTCTAATCATCAAACTATTAAGTAATACAGAATGATTTCTTTTTTTATCAATGGTAGTTAAGTCCTATTCCAGGTTTAGTCATTCATTTTCAAAATGCATCTCTTTTTCTAAAAAATAAATAACTATGAAATAACATTTCCACTTGACATTCTTCTTCCCAGAACGAAAGAAAATAATAATTTGCATATCTGTTTTATAACCTGCATTTATCAAACTGTAAAACTCTGCATCTTCACATTATATCTTAGAAAATATTTTTTAACAATATAGATTTCTCTATTTCATGGTCTGTTAAGCACTAAGAAATACAAAAAGTCTCCTGTTCAAATGATGAAGCCATCTTGTTGTCATATCCATGTATTCAATATAGTGAGTCAGCATTACTTGTTTTGTTTGATTTCGTTTGACTCATGACGTTATGATTTGTCTCTAAAAACTGAAGACATAATATGAGATTGGTGGAGAAGAAGAGAAAGATGCCAGAAGCTGAATGATTTTGCAGACTTATTTCAGATTTAGCCTTATCAGATTTCTTACTGTTTTTATCGCCTATTAATTACATAAAGTAATTAATATTACTGAAATGTGCAGGTATATGTGCATTAATATTACTGAAATGTGCAGTCATCTGTTGAGACAACTGGCTAGTGGATGAGAGGAAAGCAGTATTTATCCTGCTTTTCGTGCTGTCTCCTAGAACTTCATGCTCTGGAGCCTGGAAAAGATGCATAAGCCTGGAGAAGAAAAGGCTCAGGTGGGCTCTTTTCAATGTGCACAGATGCTTAAAGAGAGGGATTAAAGAAGATGGAGCCAATAGGCACAAATTGAAATAACAAGAAATACCATACGAACAAATGAAAAGCTTATGTACTATGAGGACTGTCAAACACTGGAACTTTCTAATGTCTTTGTTTTTCTAAAAACTGTGAACAACTCACCTTTTTTTTTTTTTTTTTTTTTTTGTCCTCTGATTACAAAATTGATTATTCCACCTTATTTGTTGCAACCAGTGCTCTGTTTTGCAATTCATCTCAGTGTTTTTTTCTGAACATTTTGTCATGCTGACAAAGAAAAAAAGAGTAATTTTGAATACTTTTTCTGTCATATTCTAGGATGTCTGCTTCTCTTCTTGTTCTGCACAAATACAAGAAGTCTATTTTATCACACAGGTCATTAATGAAAATACTGATGCTCTAGACCCTGGGGGAAAAATAAAATATAATAATAATAATAATAATAATAATAATAATAATAATAATAATAATAATAATAATAATAATAATAATAATAATAATAATAATAAAGATACATCTCAAAATATTCCTTACTTTTACTTTTGGCAGCAAAATAATGAGACATGGTCATGGAGAGGTAGGCATAGTTAGGCATAACTTTAGAAAAAAAATGGTTCTGAGATATAATATAAAAAAATAATAATGATGATTGTGGATGCCCTGGAAGTGTTCAAGACCAGGTTAGGTGAGGCCCTGAGCAACCTGATCTAGTGGGTGTCACGCCTGCCTATGGCATTGGGGTTGGAACTAGATTACCCTTGAGGTCCCTTCCAACCCAGGCCATTCTACAATTCTATGATTCTATGAGATCATTTCAGAGAGGTTTTCAAGATGGCTAACCAATTTGATAAGTCTATGTTACAAGGAAGTACTCTAACTTATAATTTCTGAAGTTTTGGATGAGCTTTTACTCACACTTTTTACTCATGCTACTCATATATCACAGTAGCATCCAGATATTTGTAGTTGCTCTTTCTAAGGAAGATTTCTATAAAAAAAGAGGTCAATCTTTTGGCATCATCATGGATGGATATCCTTGTTCAGTGCCTAATAAAACACTATGATTGTTCTTTGGCTGACTTTTAATATGCTTATGAAGTCACCTCTTGTTACTATTGGTGCCTTTCTGAATTTCATTTTTATCTTGTCTTTTCTAACTTTGCTTCTGTTTATTTTTTCTTGATCTTGCTGAGGTGTTATATAGAAAGTATTTCCTTTCTTTGTAAAACCATGACAATGTAATGCAGCTTTTCTGAACTTCATGCCTGTTCTGTGAATGCCATTCAAATTCAGCTATATTCCAGTCTGCTAGGTTAACTCTGCGTATGTTCATGCATACTTTTGTGTGCATTTAAAAAATACACACATGTGTACATGTGTACAGGAATGACAACAAATATAACTAGAATTTCATTTTTCAGTTTAGTACATCTATACTCTAAAAGGTGAAATTACCTTCACATTTTTAATTAAAAGCCCAGAGTTTACTAATACTAGGCATTACAGGGGAATGCATTTAATTTATCTTTTTTACAAAATAAGCATGCATAACAATGAAGTAATTTCAGTGATTCTAATTTCAATCTATAAAAGAAGATACCATCTTCTCAACTGTAATTACTTACTTTAGTAACAATCATTGCCTGTACCTGAAAATTTGTAATATGAAAGCTCATATGATTGAGAGATCATATTTCTTATAGTAAGTGATTGATTTTCTTCAAGTGTCATCTTTCTCGCACAATCTTCTGTAAAAATACCTTCACTGTATAAATATCAGTAGGAAGATAAATCACGTCTTTTTATCTCTATTGTTACTGTGAAGGTTTGGGGGTTTTTTGTTCTTTTTTATTTTTTTTCTGATAGGTTAGTCGAGAGTTAAACACAAATAAGACAGACAAAAAAACAATTATAGTTTAGTTCTTTCTTCAGATACACATATTCACCATTACATACCTTGAAGAGTCAAAGTCAAGCACATTTTATCCAGCAAAGAGACAGTATATGATTTTTATGGGACCAAAAGACAAAAAAAAAAAAAAAAAACTGTAATATAATAAAAAGGGAGATGAATTATTTTCTTATTTTGTATTTATAAATGAAATATAGCAAATAAGTGAGCATTGTTTATATATGTATTTGATTAGTGTTCTGTTTTTGTCCTAGAGATTACAGATTTACTCTAAAATTCATACAAGAAAAGGTGAGGCATAACAGGCATCAAAAATATGGAACAAGTTTATCAGATAAATGTATGTCAACTTTACAAGAAAAGCACAGTAGATGCAAAAGAACTGTGGTTTTGAGCACCTGAAATATACGCTCCAACTTTAAAAAACTTTTTTTTTGGTCTTTACAGTAACTCGGGCTTTAATGTGATTTTGTATTTTTCATTTTTATTTATTTATTACATGAACCTAGAGGCACCACAGTTTTTATACAAAATTGCTTCCTTTCAGAAATATTTTTCATGCAGTATGTTAAAGGTAAAAAACAAAGGGAAAACTAGTCTAGAGTTTTCAGACTTCTTTTTCTACAGAAGTTTGAGCAAATAGTACGTTAGTTGATATGCATCATATCTGTATTTCTCTTCTAGTCTTTATATATAGATTCACACATTCAGTCATTTCAAATGCTTTTCACAGTTGAAATCAGGATATTTTTCACGTATTGCTACATTTTGTTCTTAATTCTGTACCTGCCATTGCTTTTCCCTACAATTCTAATGAGTTAATGCAATTAATTTTCACCTTCTCTAGAACAATGTTCATGTTTTATTGTCAGGACGAGAACAGCATTCTCATCTTGTGATGCATCCTGGAAATATATAAAAAATAATGTTTATATAATAAAATATATGCAAATAGATAAAGTCATAAATGAAGTGGCAGAGGTGAAGCAAGAAACAATGAAGTTGTTTAAGGAATATTTTCTAGTCCTATATCCCCAATACATTGGATTTAAGTCAGTCCTGCAATATGATTTCATGTCAAGATTTAATTTAAATTTAAGAGATACTGTTCTTCCCTTTATTTCATCATAAATGATATCTTCTGAGTAGAATATAATAGTAAAGAATTGAAAAATGAAACTCAGAAAGCTGTGAACAGTGTAGGAAAAAAATAGCTTAGAAATAAAGAATAAAAGAAAAAAAATATATGTAATATATTTTTTAAAGCTTTCTGTAAGGCCTCATTAGTAGTTCTTTTCTTCAAAAAGTTATGTAAAGAATTGCTGCATTCTAAACCTTCCTTCCATAACACAATATCACTAAAAAGATAAAATACTGTTTATATGTATGATATGTATACATATTAAAATATGTAAATTATGTATCAAATCATAACTCAACAAATCAAAGTACATAGTGTTTACAGTTCATTGTGTATTAAGCTGTGGCAATTTGACAATGGAGTTGGTTAAGCTTAGGTCAAATCCTATGGTCATTTGGCTTATGCTACTGAAGTCTCTGAGATTAATTAACCTGAGAAGTATAATTAGTGTCATCTGAGGGTCTTAAAGTGAAACATTTAAGAGGAAGAAGAAAAAAAGAGGTTGAGTTTGAAAATGTTTAAAGTTCTATAAGTATTCTAACTATCTTCAACAACATGTCTTTTCATCTTTAATCCAGTGTAAGCTCTTTCTGTGCTGTAGCTTTTGACTATATAAACCCCCAATAATGAGAAATATAACTTGCTCTTACTGCAAAATATCTTTACTGCTAAAATCCTGTATCAGCCATGTCATGCTTGCTGAATGTATTTACATTGTTGCATCACTGGCCCTATTAGCCCATTAGAAAACAAAAACAAAAACAAAAAAACTGTCTGAGTAGTTGTTTTAATCACAGCACACTCCGTGGAGAGTCACAAGTTATATTTTACCCTGAAAAGGCAAAAAATACTATTCTTCCCTACCTACTAGGACATCTACATATTAGGGAGACTGGGTCTCCAGTAATCACTCCAATGAAAATTTAAATACAGTTTATAAAAAGTCAAGTTATCCAACTGTGGTGTAATTGCCTGAAGTAACTAGGAAAATAAAACTAACATTCGCATTTTTAAGGAAAAGGTACAGCATTGAAGAGGCTTTCAGGGTAGGGCATAACTGCATTACCTGAGCATTCCCGATGTTCCCAACCTTAGATGCTATCGCGCTGGGGAAACTTGGTGTGCTAGCCCTAAGGAACAGTATGGAGCGTAGAGTGGAGTGGAGACACCACGGTTAGGCTCTGTAACCAGGTGGGGACTCGACTGTTCTTGTGCACAAAACTGCACTTTTTGCCACCCTGAGCCAAGGACCTGTCATGTTTTGACAAATGCTGTACCCTAGTGTACTTTTTGCTCATTATAATATCATTATAATACCAAAACACACCTCCATCCCAAAAGCTACGCACCTCCAAGGTGCAACCACCCCTCACTGAGCATGCGCTCTGAATTTTTCGGAGCCTATTACTTTAAACGGAGACGGGAGAACTTTTCACCAATCATAACTAAGATATGCTTGACTAGAGCCACTCAAGCTCCACCTGAAAGATAGAAAATAATATCAACTGGCCCAAGAGAAAGGGGATGTCAGGGAAGATACCACTGTCAGGGGAGATACCATCCCGTGGAAATACAACATCCTTAGGACCTCCTGATTCCTGGGATCAGTCGACAGGCTGAGCCTATCTTCCCCCCCCCCCCCCCCCCCCATGAGGACGCCTTTGGGTGAGATCTGAATACTTGTTTATAAATCTCTATAGAGTCTTTGATCCTTTTAACGCGTTTATTTCTAGGCTGCGCACCTGTAACACCTGTAACACCTGAATATTTCATGCATGATAGCTTGCTTTTGCAGACAGTCACTATCACTGGCAATACAAAAGAACCTGATTATCTGTTGCTGTAATAAACTGTACTTGATTGCATTGTGATAGCTCTCATTAAGTTCAACTAGGGTAAGGGTGGATATCCGTGATAGTTCAGTGTTCTGAATCCATCCAGACCCCCAGACGGTTAATGCGTTGTTGGTGAATGTCTGAATGGACCCCCAGACCGTTAATGCGTTGTTGGTGAATGTCTGACTGGACCCCCAGATGGTTAACGCGTTGTTGGTGAATGTCCGACTGGTTCAGTACCCTGAATTCGACTGGGCCCGTAACGGTTAATCAGCTAACACGACACCAACAGAAAAGACAGAGGACAGCAGAATATCATAGTTTTTTAGTGAAAGCATGATCAAAGAAGATGGATCTTGCACATCTGCCTGTCTTCAGGCAAAACTTCTGTGTATTGAGAGGATAGAGCAATCACTATGTTATTGGGCTGTACTTCTTTTTCTATTCTACAATTCAAAAATTGTAGCTATTCCATGTCATTTGAGAAAAGATTTTGGTAGTGGATTTTCACTGGAAAAGGTGCCTCTGGGGTTGACGTTAGTGCCACAGACAAATGTGTGGGCCATTGACTAACCTGAGGTTAAGCTAACTGTATAAAAGTACTATATATAAGAAATATAGAGAAATAAAACAAATATTGATGTGAGAGGTTGACAGAATTGGGTAACTCCAGAAAACATGGGTGGACCTCAGATGTGCTGATGAAGGAATTAAAAACTGCCAACTCCACAGGCTATTGGACAGGAATATTGGGAACCTTTGGAGTAGCACAATATTCTAAGGCCAATAACACCTATGTAGCCATAGCAGTTATACCACTTATATATGGCTGATACTACACATTGATGCCATATCTGGGTATAGATGTCATAAAAATGGGACCAATAGAGAAAAAGTAATTAGAGATGGTTTGGCGCTTGGGATAGATATGGGAGGAGAATGCTGCCAATAAAGAAAGGGTGCAAGGACTAGCTAATTAACCCTCAGACAGAAGGAGCTAGCATCCTGGAATTGTTATGATGTTGCCTGTTCCAGACCTGATGGCATCAACAGCTATCAGCTACTTCCTAACAATTAAGCATATTTCTGTGAGATGAGTGTTAAATGACATCCTCTCCTCAGTATGTCCTGCTGCATAACTCCCAGCTATGCATAGATGCAGCATCTGGTATACCCTTCCTTCTCTCCTGGCTCTGGCTTTTGGACATTTCATTAAGTGATGACTTTGTTCCATGAACCAAGAATCCAGACACCTGGCTTGGGCTTATGGATCCTACTAACAGGACTTCAAGCAAACATTAGCTGCTTGCAAGCAAAGTGAATACCCATTTTCTTAACAATCAAACCAGGAGGAGCTCATGGTTGCTGGAAGGTGTTGAGTCCATCATAGGACCTAGGATCTCCAATAAATAATAACTGAATGGACTCGCTCACATCTGTTATACACTGCTCCTGATCAGCGTACTATCTCCATTCCACTCTTGTACATCTGAATCTTCCCTATGTTTCATTCTAGCAGTCAGTTCACTTTTTATATCTGTCCATCCCCAGTGAAACGGCCAGAACAGGAGCTTTCCTGCCCTGTCTTCATGGACCACAACCTATCATAAGACATAAAAACTTTTACAGCCTTGCTAGGCTGATACCAGTCCTTGCTAAACCTTAGGGACTGCCAACAGTGTTACCTAAATCAGAGACAGTTTAACAGGGGTTTCCTGAGTCAAGTTCCAGGTCCAAAAATCCCCATTATTTTCCTCTACACCACTTATGGTGGATTTTCTTTTTTATCAGACCATCAGCTCTCAGCACTGATGATAATAAATGTGTGGTATAGAGACTATATTACTCTATGTAACTGATAACAGAAACAATTGAATGTAAGTAACTTCATAGACCAAATTATGTTTCTAGCTGAGGCTGGCTTCTAGAAAGTCATTTAAAAATGAGTGCTGTGTTACTCAGGACAGTCTTAAAGGTTATGACAAGTATTTTCCATAGAATAGCGAAAAATATATTTTATGTTTCCTCATATCCAATCGTAAATTAATTTGTTCTTATACAGGTGTGTCAGTCTTGTAAAGAAATATGTGTATGATTATCTTCAGGGAAGAGTATTCTTTTTCGAGGCATAAAAATTAAGCTACTGGCCTTTTTTTTTTTAATGAAAATGGAAAAGGAAAACAAAATATCTCCTTAGACAAATAATCTAGAAAAGATGAATACCTCTTATTCTTTAAGTACCTAATCCAATAGAAAACAAAAATATAATTCTATTTATCAGCCAGTTATCCAGGCATCATCATATATATAGGTTGACTGCATGCCCAAAATGAAACCAAATATGAGCATGTTTTTCTGTTCCTTTACATCCTTCGCATCTTGTAGATAAAGTCTGGTGCTGTGCCAAATTAAAAACAGAGGTTGAAGACATTATAAAAGTTCAAAAAATATATCTTTAAATGAGAATAAACTGTTTTTCACATCCCTTAAAGCAGGCCCATTCTGTAAGATGATAGCGCGACTATCAGATGATTGTTGTTAGTGGGGCTTGTTTTATAAAGTAGTGAAACAAATCTGGCTATCATACTGTGATTGTCTGAATATATATCCTTCCATAGCATTCGGTTTGATTTGATTAAACTTTTAATTAAACTGCAAAATGTCATGCAAAAATATTTATATCTTAATTGGAAAGTGTGTTTTCATTCTTTGATTATAGGCACAGTAAATCTCATCATTAGCTTTAGATCTTTTTCTTCCTGAAAACTCAAATGCCTATGAATTTATTTTTTAGACAAATGAAGTAAAAATATTAGTTTAGGATAATTTATATCTTTTAAATACATTTGTAATATGTATTTATTTGACATGCCCACATATAATATCTTTGTCCAAGGAATAGCTTCATCTACAGAAATGCCTTTCTAAG